TTGTTCTTAGGACACAGATAGAGACTTCTGTAAGACCGGTTTAGCCTAACTCAATTTCAATCACTTTCGAATTTACTTCTTTCTGCTCCCATCGACCTCAAGCCTCATTCGCATACCTTCAATTGGTTATGAGCCCAAACTACGCCGACTCCATCAAGCTCGTGGAAGACAACTACTTCCACTGGGAGTTCAACATGCGGATGAAGGTCTCGCGCAAGGGACTGCTGGCTCACATCATCAAGCCAGAGTTCGACCCGGTGAGCAACCGCGCCACGGATCAATGGAAGACCGGCGACCTGAAAGCCCTTGGTGTGATAGCTGGAGACGTCAGCCTCACGTACCAAGTCTACATCCGTGGTGCAATGACTGCAATGGACGCATGGGCCCAGCTCCAAGAGCAGTTCAACTGGAACACGCTGAAGAACCGACTCCTCGTGACAAAAAAGCTACACGCTTTCAAGATGGAGCCCGGTACGCGTTTCGCGGTGCATGTGGACCAGTTCAAGGAACTGGTATTGCAAATGGAAACGATTGGGGAACCTATCAATGAAACCTGACAGCTCGTGTTGCTGCTTGGCAGTCTCACGGAGGAGTATCGGATGATAAGCACCGTACTCGAGAACACGCCAAGCATATCGCTGTCCTTTGCGATCCAAGCCCTCTCCGGAGTTCAAGTCTCAGATGAACACGGCTGAAGAGAAGGCTTTCGCAACAAAGAAGAAGGACTTTAACGGCAAGCGTCGTTTTAACGGCAAGTGCTTCTACTGCAAGAAGCAAGGGTACCGAGAGTTTGAGTGCCGGAAGAAGAAGGCCGACGAAGAACGAGGACAAGCGGCGCAAGAGGAAGCGTCTGGATTTTTGTTCATGGCTACGAGTGCAATGGCCAAGAGTGAATGGCTCATCGACTGAGGTGCAAGTTTGCACATGACCAGCGTCCGGGACAAGTTCGTGTCCATGAAGGAGCTGAAGACGCCAGTTCGCATCACGATCGCGGATGGCACGAAGATCGATGCAGTTGCAAAGGGCACCGTCGATATGAAGCTGATGGACGGCACGGCTGTCACGCCGTCGGATGTTCTGCACATCCCTGAA